CTCCCATTGATGACCGGTTTTGACCGGTCATCACTGGGGGTGTTTGGGGGGGGGGGGGGGGTTACTCCCAGAAATGACCGGTCAAAGTTTAATCCCATCAATGACCGGTCAAAACTGGCCATTGATGGGGGTGTTTATTCCCATCAAGGACCAAACCTGCCCTTGATGGGAGTGTGTCCTCAATAAAAGTACAAGCAGTCATTGATGGGAGGCTTACCCCATCAAGGACTGGCTGAAATCAGTCATTGATGGGAGGCTTACCCCATCAAGGACTGGTTGAAATCAGTCATTGATGGGAGGCTTACCCCATCAAGGACTGGTTGAAATCAGTCCTTGATGGGGGTGTTTATCATCCATGGGAGGTGTACTCCCACTTTCATGGATGACTGGGTGTAGAGTCGAAGGGGTTGAGAGGAGGTCACAAACCCCTTGGATACATGGCTAATTTAGCGGACCAGTACCATGTTTGGCGGTCCAGGAGCAATAATGTTGGTTCAGGAGCATGGGTGGCCAATTTGGCGGTTAGATTCAATTTTCACTTTAGCCATTCTGGCGGTTCAGGGCGATCATTTGGCGGTTATTTGGCCAAAGTGGCGGTTCATCCCCATTTTTCCATTTTTTTTTTTTTGGCCAAAATGGCTGTTCAGTACCTCTAGTGTCTCCCTCTTTTTTTTTTTTTTTGAGGGTTGCAAAATATGGTTTGTAAAATTGAATTTTACATACCATGTTTTGCAATTTTGCAAAACATAATTTACAACTCATAGATGGGTTGCAAACTAATGGTTGCAAAATTCCATGACATAAGGCAAAAATGTACTTTTGCAAATCATCTTGTTTGCAAGACATAAGGGTTGCAACATATGTGCCTTAAAATTCAACTCCATGGGGCATGGGTTGCAAGTTTAAGGCACATATGTTGCAACCCTTTTTTTTGCAACCCATATTTTTGGGTGATGTTTTGTAAAATTATACATTAGCCCCATAAACATGTAATTTTACAAACCATCTGATTTACAAGACATATGTCTTGTAAAATACAGTTTGTAAAATTACAGCGACCTGTTTTAAATTCAACCTGGAACCAAGGCAAGCAGTATTTAGCCATCACAACAACACTTATGAACAATATGCTTTGGAAAAAAACTCAGATTGGGCATTGTCAATTCAGTCCTGGTATGAATTTCAAGTGCCATAACAAGTCATTGGCTTAAAATGATGCTCTCTCCAGTACTCCACTGAAAACAATTGGCCGGAACAGGGAATTCAGGGGGAAGAGGGTTAAACATATGAAAATGGTCAAGCATTGGGGTTAGGTTTGTTGAATTGGAGACTAGAAGAGGGAAGGGGGGAGGATGGGGGAAGTGGAAGAGGGAAGTGGGGAGGGTGGGGGAGGAGAGGTGTAGGGTATAAAAGGAGAGGGTCTTGGGGGTGGAGTTGTGCACCATTGGTTGGCTTTTGCTTGGCTCTATCGCCATTAAGCCACTGCTCCAGGTGTGAGCCTGAGATGTGATAGGAGGATGGGAGTGGTCTAAGTACACCATTGGGGGTTATTGAGCCGGGGGTGCTGGGTTTAATAGTAAACTCTTAATGGTTCAATGGAATTTAATGGAGCTTCTGAGCTCCAAAAATCAATGGAGTCAAGCAGATCCTACCTTCCAGCAGCTTGGCCTAGCTGTGTTGAAACTACAGTCTGAAAAAATTGATTAATGGATTTTTCAATTTTTTGGTGAATGGACTCAGGTGAGTACCGCCACTTTACAAATAAGTCCCTCCCTGCGGTCGGGCGGGGTTCAGCGCTTCACCACTGCACGCCCAACCACGACTGGGTGGGAGTCGGACTAAATAAGTTAGGTGTTTCGGACACTATCTCAATCTGATGATTATTTCTGCACTCGGTGTCTATTGCCCCCTGAATGCAGTTGTTGATTCCCCTATGGTTCAGCCAGCGAAACACAAAAAAGCCCTCCATGATCCACACCCACACAAGAACGCAAGCAGACCAAGAGCCCTCTTTGCGCAACTGCTGAGACCGTGATAGTCAACACATTCAGCTCCATGCAGCTTGGCGACCGTTCTTTGTTTTGTGTGCCAACAGTGGAAATCGCCGCGCTCTGCTCTGCTTATACGACTCGAGACTCAACGTTACAATCCATCTGGGATTGCTCACAAATAATGTATCTTAAAAGCTACTGTACAAAAATGTCTGTTAAAGCAAATGGACCTAAAGTCAACTGAAAGAGAGAAAGAGCTGTACAATCTGTCCGTACATCTAGTACTTCCCAAGGCGGTGAGTGGAGGAAGGAAGGAGCAATAGGCACATAAAGAGGGTTCAGTTTTACGTCCCTCTGCACAAAATGGAGTGTTCGAGTACCAAGGCCATCAACATGACCATTTCGGGCTGTTGGATGAGAGCGGAATCAGTAGTCTGTATGATGAGTCAACTTGGAGACTTTGTTCTGGGTCACTGACCACTGGTGCCTCATCAACAATCGAGAGGGTAAACGTGTTCCGGCCTTTGGGGTCGTTCCACCATTTGTCGTAGCGCACATTGGCTGCTCCGACCAACCGAAAGTCAGATAATGTTTCTCTCTTTTTTTTTTTACCTTGATAGGTAGCACGATAAAAGGAGGGGTAAGTGACTCACTCCTCAATAATCCTTCTAATACATCCTTTTGTCCCCGGGCCACCCTATAGATCCGACCGCCCATGTTGGAAGAGTTCTTGTTGAATCTGTAGTACCTTCTGACACCAGATTTATCGGGGTAGTTGAAGTGCCACATGTCGGCTCTGTGGTCTCTGATTTGAAGCCTGTAATCCCGTTCAGCCCATGCTTGGCCGTTGTACTGTAAAAAGCGTTTATTGTGGCGGCAATAATCGTTCGTCTGCAGAGGGGGATTGTAGGCGAAGGATGGCGGGTATTATTAATGATGGATGCTTCCAAACGGAATTCGTTAATAGTTATTACTGACCGATTCAAGTTTAAACAACGGTCTGGAAGATCCGTCCGCAAGTGTAGTCGTCGAGGACCCTCTGATTCTGCGGTAATCCTTGTACCAACGGAATGCGTCCTCGCCTTTGGAGTTATAGACCGACAGATAGTTATTTGCCCAGTCGAGTCCCATGCTCATGATATAATCATTGGGAGGGGGGTAAACTGCGCGGGCACTCATGGCGAATGAGGCGAATAATGTCGTGAGGATAAGGGCGCTGGGGAGCTGCATGGTTAACTAGTAAAATGGGTGCAAATCGGATGTCTGGGATACGTTGAGAGGTCAAGATGAATGTTGATACTGTAAAGTCTGAAAGTGAAGATACGATGAAGTGGAAAATTGTCTATGGAACTATGAACAGGAGAGCCAATGAAAGTGAGAGGATGAGAAGTGATCTGGGTGGACAAACCGACTGGAGAAAGCTGGAGGGTATTTATAGTAAATACCGAGACGCTGGCCGACCTCACAACAACACAAAGTCTGCAACGAAGGAGAAAGACTCGAGCAGAGAGCCGGCCATGAGCAAGGCGCGTAACAACCGGTAGCAACGGGTCACTAGTGGCGAGGCGCATACATAACCGCAAGAAAAGACGACAAGGCCGGAAGGGCTCAGGCCAAGGAGTCCGTCTGGCGGCTACAACGCCACTAAAAACACGGCTCCTCAACTCCCTGATTTAACACAAGCTCGATTCGGAGGACCCTGCCTCTGGTTGTCAGCGAGCGGAGAGCTAACCGGGTGAGAATTGTGAGGAGCCACCTACAACTCTGTTTCCTTAAATGACTACGAATATCTCCAAGAGGAGTTGTCGTCTGTATTGAGAGTTGCAAGAAGGGTGACTTATCTTTAAGCAAAGATAAGTTCTTGAAGTGGACTTGAATAATGATAAGAGTTTTTATCGAACGGATTTTATTTCGGTATCGACTAGAGATGATGATAGAACAAAGATATATCGATAAAGAAAGAAAGAAAAGGGAGGAAGAGAACAAATATCGTAACAATATATATAAAAGAGAGTCAAAAGAAACAACTAATGGGAGTGTGAAAAAAAAAAAAAAAATAAGAAGAGAGACTATATATTGCAAAGATCAAAGAAAATCAGAGCTGATGGCCGGATAGATACCAATTGTTACATAAGCATATAGTCAGTTTAGGAGAGGGGATTGGGAATGATGAAGATTGTTCTTTGCTTTTGTGTGGAGTAAATTTTGAACCTGACCCAAACAAAACAAGAGTTATCAGAACACAATGTTTTTTTAGTGTACATATAGGAAATAAGAAAACTCACAAGAAGACAAGCTAATGAAGACCACAGACCACTTGTCGATCGAGCCACATATGAGAAATCTTCTTGGATGTGTTGATTAAGGACAAGAAGGTAGCGGATTTCTTCTCATCCTCGAGGACCAAGACATACTCGATATATCTCTCATCGTCGACCTCGTTAAGGAAGTGAGTGGCAAGCGATTGGAGTGCCTTGTCGCAAATCGTCTGTTGCGCGTTCGATGGTCCACTCCCAGATTCTTCAACAAGAGAGGCCGAACCGGGTCTTAGAGGTCCTAAAGAGGCATTGGCATTGTTGATGGCTCCTATCAATCCCTCTATTCCTTCGGTTACCACCGACTCATTCGTTTCTTCTGTTCGCTTGTTGCTGGAGATCGGTCTTGGTGCGGTGGAAGATTCGACGGGCTTCTCAATTTCACCTTCGCTATTCTCACACGAACCATAAGAGAATGTAGATCGTTTCCTCTTCTGTTTATTCTTCTTGACACTTTTCGATGGACCAAGATCTGTGCCAGGATCGCTACCGTTCATCGGTAGAATGTGCTTGTTGGTGGGATCGGTAATCTTGTCGGTTCCCGAAAAGACTCGCGCGGCGACTTCGAATACTGGAAATGACTTGTTTTTCAATTTACCAAAGTTCCTTCTGGGATGAGATTGGATGAGCTGATCCCACGCGCTTGGATCTGCTTTAACTGTCGATTTCTCGTTGTCCCAATCAAAGCCTGGTTGTTGGGACAGAAACTTGTAATCGAAGTAAAGCCTTCGGAGGACATTCTTCTGATTCTTGATTTGGTCGCAACTGAGATTGAGGTTGAAGTGCTCATTGAGGCCGTCGAGTACGTGCGCCCAGTCTTCCTTCTTCAGATTATCGTTTGTGTCTGTCGCCCGTCCAGCCGAGATTCTGATTTCGATGAGCTCAAGGAGCTTGCGCTTTTCATTGGTCGACCACATGTGGGGCGTCTTCCCGTCCGCCTCATCCAGGCTCGTCGCGAGTAGGTTGGGAGTGGTTGCTGATCCATTCGGGGTGGTCGTTGGTGGTGCTTCAGGAGTGGTTGATGGTTTCGAAGGAGGTTGTATTTCTTTCGTTGTTATTGGAGTGATCAAGCTGGAGGCAGCAGCTGGAGTAGGTAGGCATACTGAGATATCAGCAGGGCCATCTGATGATGATATGGTCCGTGGAGCACTGTTGGAGAGCTGAGGATCAATCATGGCCGAGGGGTGGTTGGTTGAGAGGGAAAGTAATTTTCGAAAACGGCCGAGGGGTTTCCAAGAACCCAGCTCACAGGAAATGGTTTTGTTGTGGTTGTGGTCCGAAATTGGACCCCGGTGATCACATAACGTGTTTTTTTTTTTGGTCAAAAACTATTTCTGAAAAAAAAATCTGAATGACTTCCCCTGGATATCTGGCCATAATTGGATTATGCAGAGCCTCCATAAATTTCCCTGTGACTACAGTTGCGTATGGCATAGACCGACCATGCCCCGCCCGCAAAATCCAATTTGGACACGCGGGGCCTATGCCCCGTGGGGCATGTGCCCCGACACTTAATTTTATTACAATTTTGAACTCCTACAGATGTGTAGAGTTCAAAATTGTAAACACTAAGCTTTTGAGTGAGCGGTTCAATTTTTTTTTTCATTTCCACATACAGATAATCGGACAATCACAGATTAAGCAATACTTAAACCCATAGTTATGGCTTTAAGTTATAAATAATCATGGCTTTATACTACTTGTACACCCTTGACATCTACTTTCACTGTTAATCTTCTATTCTAGTGTATTTTTTCTACAATCTGGAGGCTACAAACAGCTCAAAAGGCTGAAAATTTCAAAAAAAAATCTGAATTTTCGGCTCGACCATTCGGACATCCTCAAAATCCAGGGTCGGTTTTTGCCGTCCGCAACTGTACATAGACTCTTGGAGTCTAAATCGAAAATGACATCTGCAAGGGCTGCAGATTCAACCAAAAGTCATCCACAGTGTCGAGGGCAGTTCATCATGTTCCGGCCAAATGATGTTTGATAAGGCTTTCTGATTGGACACAGTTGCAGCCAGATGAAGACTTCCTGCTGTCTAAACTTGTGAATGGAGGACTTCCCCAGCTTGAATCTATAGTCCTTGTAAATGATGATGTACATAGAGCTGAAAAATTTAACTTTTTTTGGGAAAGAGCTTCTCACAGGTGAGGAGGCTGTAAAACCAAACTAGAGATGGTCGCGGATAATCCGCCGCGGATATCCGCCATCCGCTGGCGGATACCCGCCAGTGCCAGCGGATACCCGCCAGCGGGTACGGATGCACCCTTCCCCCTGAAATACTGGCGGGTATCCGGGTATCCCTTGGGATACCCGGTGCCAAGAGGCCACACCGCCGGGAGGAATCCCTCCCGGCAAGCTGGTTTTTAAACCAGCTCGTCGGGAGGGGTTCCTCCCGACGAGCTGGTCTGTGTACCAGCTTGTTGGGAGGGAATCCTCCCGGCC